TCAAATAAACAAAAATTATTTTTTTGAAGATTTATTTATTTACATGAAAGGCAGAGTTACAGAGAATCAGAAGGAGAGATAGAGAGGGAGAATGGGATCTTCCATCCACTGGCTCACTCCCTGGGTGGCCGTGGCAGCCAGAGCTGGGCCGGTCTGAAGCCAGAAGCCAGAAGCTTCCTCCGGGTCCCTCACGTGGATGCAGGGGCCCAGGAGTTTGGGCCATCCTCCACTGCTTTCCCAGGCACATAAGTGGGGAGGTGAATCAGAGGTGGAGAAGCTGGGGCTTAGGCCGGTGCACATGTGTGATGTCAGTACTGCAGATGGCGGCTTTGCCCACTATACCACAGTACCAGCCCCAACAAAATTTCCTAAAAAATACATTTCTTGAAAAATAAATTGTTGACACACCTTCCATTTGACTAATAACAGACTGGCTGTCTACTCTGTGTGCTACTATGAGACTCAAATATTAACTGAATTCAGTCTCAGAACTTAGAGTGTAGTACAAGAAATGTGTAATTTGACACTAAAATTAAGCACAATAATGCAAAATAAAAGTAGATTATGATGTAGTTTATATAAGCTTAATTTTAAAAAATCACAGCAGGGGCTGGTGTGGTGGCATAGCAGGTAAAGCCACTATCCGCGACATCCCATATGGGTGCTGGTTTGTGTCCCAGCTGTTCCACTTCCAATCCAGATCCCTGCTAATGGCCTAGGAAAGCAGTGGAGGATGGCCCAGGTGCTTGGGCCTCTGCACCCACATAGGGGACATGGTGGAAGCTCCTGGCTCCTGGCTTCAGATCGGCCCATTGGCCCATCTCTGGCTGTTGCAGCCATTTGGGGAATGAACCATCAGATGGAGGATCTCTCTCTCTCTCTCTCTCTCTCTCTCTCTCTGCCTCTCCCTCTCTCTAACTCTGATTTTAGAATACAAAAACTTTAAAAAATAAAAATGTAGAAAACAAAAAAAAATTATTCATCCAGTTTATTGGGGGAGGGGGGAGAGTGAGAGTGAGGAGAGAGGTTGATTCCATTTGCTGGTTCACTCCCTAAATGCCTGTAGCAGTTGGGCCCAACCAGACTGAAGTTGGGAGCTGTGAACTCAATCCAATTATTCCATGTAGGTATCACAGACTCAACTATTTCAGTTATCACTTGCTGCCTGCCAGGGCACACATTAGCAGGAAGCTGGAATCAGAAGTGGAGCTGGGACTTGAACATAGGCATTCTGATGTATGTGCATGTCCTAAATAGCATCCTAAGCCAAACTTGCCCTTAGGGTTATTTTTCTAAAATACTGTTTTAGAGCTATACAAATAGAATGGTATAAGGGAACTTCCAAAAAGATTCTAACACAGGTAAAAAGGAGACAAAGAAAAAAGGAAGGTTCCTAAAAAACAATGGCTCAGAGAAATAGTAGGCACATACACATGATTTGATAGATATAGAAACACTCTGCTGCTAATTTTCAACCACAAAGTACAGCTAGAAAATCCAGATTTAGTACTCTTTTTGTCATTAGCTGTGTGACTTTGGTGAAGTTCACAAACTTATGGGTCTCAGCATCTATACTTGTATAGTTTATGGAAGGGATGGGTTTGAGCTATCTATGAACCTTTCTGGCTCTAAAATTAGCAACACTGATAATGTAGTCAACACCGCTAAGCTATAGTGTTTAAAATCTACAGAATTCTTAGTTCAAGGAAAGATTTTCCTGATATTTCACCCCACACATCTCAATTCATGAATCTTTCCCTCCTCTCAAATTTGTAACCCAAGGGGGTGGAATGGTTTATAGAAGCACTAAGCCTAGTGGATTCAAGATGACTGAATAGGGAAAAATATATACTGCTTTAGATGAAGGGAAAAAAGCAGAGGAAGTGCATTCTCAGGTGAGAGTTGGAGAGAAATTTGCAGTGGAAATTCTACAGAAGGAAGAGGGATGCCATGAAGCAGTGGGGAAGATGAGGATACGCAGAAACAAGTGCACACAACCCCTGTAGCTGAGAGCTGGAGGACATGCCAATATCCTGAGGTGAAAGTAGACAGTGGCAATCCATGCCACTGGTGATATTACTAGAGGGAGAGCCCTGTGGACCAAGTAGTGTTGGAGTCTGAACAGGATCCCTAGTAGGGGCCAGGGTACCTGCCTAATCCAGCAAAACAAAAGCATGTTTCTTTCTCCTCATCACCCAGCAAGGCACCTGGCAACTGACAGGGAGAAGGCACCATTCTGACACCAAAAAGGCTGCCGCAGCTCTTATGAGCACATAAGGGATATTACAAGAGGGAAAAATCCACGTCCCCCACTGACTTTGAGTCTGGCTGGGAGAGTTGACAGGGGGCTGGGCACCCACATAGTATTGTGAGATGCCCCTACCCTCTCAACAATTCACAGGCTCCAGGGCTCAAACTGCCAAGGCAGAGCACTCACAGGTGACTGGCTCTGAAAATGTCTCTGCTTTCTCCATTGACTAGGCAGGCTAGTGGGGTGAAGCATAGATCCTCTGCACCCTGTGACTGTGGGAGACTTGTGTGTTGTGACTGTGGAAACCCTGTGACTGCACAATAGAGTGCAGGGTGTAGCTGAGACTCTGGGCAATCACTGTCCAGTGCCAGAGGCTCAGAGCTCCCTGATTGCCTGGGGTGGTCACTGCAGAGAGATCTGTGCTCACACTGAGGACTGTACTGACCTTTTGTGCTACTCATGCAGCAGCACAGGTGAATATTGCACCTTCTGTGGGCTAACCCTGGGAATTGATCATCTTGGAAGAGAGGAGGTGAGGGTGTGATTACACCAACAGAGGAGATCTTATCTTCCCCGCTGCTGACAATACATGAGATTTACCATACCCAATCTGAGTGTAAGCCTGGATACTCATCCCACCCCAGAGTACTGAACAAAGCTCCTTGGCCACACCCAGTGCAAGCTTCTGGGTATTCACTGAAAGAGCAGGCACTCTACTAAGCCACAGAGGAATAGATTCCTAGACACATGCAGTCTACCAAAATTGAGTCATGAAGACATAGAAAATCTAAACAGAAAAATAAGCAAGATGGCAATTGAATCAGTAATAAAGACATTCCCAAAGAAGAAAATCCCAGGACCGGATGGCTTCACTGGTCAATTCTACCAGATTTTAAAGAAGAACTAATTCCAATTCTCAAGCTATTTGAAACTATTGGCATAGGCAAAGACTTCTTGGAAAAGACCCCAGAAGGACAGGCAAACAAAAGCAAAAACAGACAAATGGGATTACCTCAAGCTGAGAAGCTTCTGCACTGCAAAGGAAACATTCAGCAAACTGAAGAGGTCACTGACAGAATGGGAGAAAGTATTTGCAAACTACACAACTGATAAAGAGTTAATATCCAAAATCTATAAAGAGCTCAAGACACTCAACAACAACAAAATAAACACAACAGGAGTCACTGTGCACTTACTCCTCATGTAGGATCTCTGTCCTCAATGTGCTGTACATTGTGATTTAATGCTATAACTAGTACTCAAACACTATTTTTCACTTTGTGTTTCTATGTGGATGCAAACTGTTGAAATCTTTACTTAATATATGCTAAACTGATCTTCTGTATATAAAGATAATTGAAAATGAATCTTGATGTGAATAGAAGGGGAGAGGGAGT